CTGTAGTTAAACGACTCATCAGAGTTTGATGTCTATGGTCCTAATAGAACTGATTGTGATGTTGATGCACACTAATGATTGTCTATTCGTGACTAGTTCAATTTTTTTAACAAATGATTAGGTAATATTTTATTAAATATAAAATTCTTTTTAGTGTTTATTCAATTTTTAAGAAAATCAATTTTATAAATATTTGAGAAATAAATTAATTCATTATACATACTACAACAATTTAAGAATCCAATTTATCAAACATATCGTTATATGAAAGCAACTTTAAAAATATACTTTACAAAACGCATTCAAAATTACTTCTAAAGTTTATTATTTTCAAAATTAAGGAAATATTATTTTATTTATTTAATTTTCATATTTCAGTCTCAACTATCAAGCTTTTAGAAGCAACCCCTTGATAACATAAACGGTATTTTGAAGAATGAACTCTCCCGCCTTAACAACTAACTCTCAACCCTTTCTTCTACACCAAAACCCAAACCATTTTACTTCTCCTAATCAAACTCTCACAACAAAAACACAACAAATCTCCCAACAAACCAACAACAACAACATAAACCCCACAGTTCAATGGACCTCCTCTATATCTCGTCACTGCCGCAACGGCCACTTACCCCTAGCTGCTTCAGAGTTCTCTCGCATGAGACTATCTGGGGTCAGCCCCAACCACATCACTTTTGTGTCCCTTCTTTCAGGTTGTGCTGATTTTCCATCAGAAAGTTCGTCTTTTGGTTTTCTGATACATGGACTTGTTTGTAAACTTGGCTTGGATAAAAACAATGTGAAAGTTGGCACGGCGGTTGTCCAGATGTATGCGAAATTCGGTAGAATGGATTTGGCTAATATGGTTTTCGATGGAATGGGAATGAGGAATTCGTTTTCTTGGAATACGATGATCGACGGTTACATGAAGAATGGGGATATAGAGCGTGCAGTTAAGCTGTTTGATGAAATGCCCGTCAGAGACACAGTATCGTGGACTGCATTGGTTAATGGGCTTGTTAAGAGAGGTTATGTTGAGGAAGCATTGGAGTGCTTTCGAGAAATGCAGATGTCTGGGGTGGAGCTGGATTATGTGGCCATTATTGCGGTTCTTGCTGCGTGTGCTGACATTGGTACTCTTGGTTTAGGCTTGTGGGTGCACTGTTTTTTCCTAAAGCAAGACTTTAAGGACAATGTCAGGGTGAGTAATTCGTTGATCGACGTGTATTCTAGATGTGGGTGTATTGAGTTTGCTCGTCAAGTTTTTCAGGGGATGCAGAAGCGAACGTTGGTGTCTTGGAACTCAATCATTGTGGGATTAGCTGTTAATGGATTTGCAGAGGAAACTTTGGAGCATTTTAATTTGATGCAGGAAGAAGGATTCAAGCCAGATGCAGTCAGTTTCACAGGAGCACTAACTGCATGTAGCCATGCTGGTTTAATTGATAATGGACTCCAGTATTTTGATATTATGCAGAAAGCATATAGAATCTCTCCCGGGATCGAGCATTATGGATGCTTAGTAGATCTTTATAGTCGAGCAGGGAGATTGGAGGATGCATTGAATGTCATAGAAAATATGCCCATGAAGCCAAATGAAGTTGTTTTTGGCTCATTGTTGGCTGCATGTAGAAGTCGAGGAGATGTTATGTTAGCTGAGAGGTTGATGAAGTATCTTGTTGACTTGGATCCTGGTGTTGATTCCAATTATGTGCTCCTTGCAAATATGTATGCAGCAATTGGGAGGTGGGATGGCGCAAGCAAGATTAGGCGGACAATGAAGGGTCTTGGTATACAGAAGAAACCGGGGATTAGTTCAATTGAGATTGGGAGTAGCATTCATGAATTTGTGGCTGGTGACAAGTCCCATAAAGAGACGGAACATATTTATGCAATGCTGGACCTTCTGTCTTTCGATTTAAGATTGTATGGTTATGTTCCAGAACCTGTGGCCCGGGAACTTTATGAAAATGATTAAACTTTTTGTCAAATGTATATTTTAGAGTGTCAGGTTAGACTTCAGCTTCGGCCTTCATGTATATTATCTTGTTTTCTTGAAGGGATGTGTACTCAAATTTCAGTAGAAGTTTATCTCATTCAAGATCGTGGAATCAAACAAATTAAATTTCCCCATGATGCCAATAATTGATCCATAAAGACTCCCTATCTTTTACATTTAGTTATGAAAATGTGCCTAACTTTTTACTTGTACAAATCCGCCTAACAAATAAAGGAGATTTTTCTTTCCTTTTCTTAGTCTACTCCATGAAATAACTGTCCTATGGTATCCAAAAGACTCGTAACGACACTATAGACAACCTCCTTGAATCTTTTGAACTACTCTCTGAGCAACCTCCACTTTCCCATGAATTCTGCAAGCCGCCAACAAAGACCGCCACAATGCCTCATCCGCCTCCACATGCATCCCCATTATCAACTTCTCAGCTTCCTCTACCAGCCCCACCCTCCCCAACATATCCACCATACACGTGTAATGCTCCAACACTGGCCTCACCCCAAACCTTCCCTCCTTAATCATCTTCCAATACTGCCTCCCCTTCTCCACTTTCCCTCCATGGCTACACACCGTCAGCACCGTCACAAACGTCACTTCATCCGGCACCATTTGTTCATTCATCATTCTGTCAAACAATTCAAACACTTTATCACATTTCCCATGCATTCCGAACCCCGCCATCATTGCCGACCACGATATCTCATTTCTCTCAGGCATCCCATCGAACACTTTATATGCACTAACTAAATCACCGCACTTCGAGTACATGTTTATCAATGCATTCGGGTTAGCTAAATTCGTGAGATACCCATTGACGAGAGCAATTCCATGGACTTGTTTACCAAGTTTTAAAGCTAATAATCCGGCGCAGGATTTGAGGATGGAAGGGAAGGTGAAAGTGTCTAAGGGTTTTCGAGAAAGGATCATTTGGCGAAAAATGGAGAGGGAAAGAGAGAATTGTTGGAGAGAAGAGTAGGCGCGGATGAGAGAGTTGAAGAGGAAAGTGGGTTGATGGTTAGTGAGAGAGAAGAGGAGATGGGCTTCTTGCATTTGGTGACAAGAAGCGTAGGAAGAGACAAGTTTGTTGCGAATGAAGTTATGGGAGAAAATGCCATTAGTAATGGTTTGTGCGTGGATTTGTTTGAGTCTGTGGAGGTGTTTTGTGGAATAGATGTGGTCTAAGAGACGGGCAAAGAAAGGTATGAGGTTTTGTGGTGTGGACATAACCACAATATTGCCCGCCACTGCCTCTGTTAGAATACAGGATAAATGGAATAACATCCACACCACAATATTACCCGCCACTGCCTTTGTTCGAGTACAGGATAAATGGAATAACGCACTTTTCAACTGAAGATAAAAGCATAATTTTGTAATATAATATACGACTTAAAAAGGAGTTTTTGATAGGTTCAAACTTCAAATGGCAACAACCTATATGAAGACTCTCCTGGTGGACATGAGAAAAGCCCAAATTTTGAGAACTCCTATCTTACTGACATTTGGACAACTCAACAAAATCGGCGTCCAGGTAACTAGGAGATAGTTCAGTTTTTCATCCCTATGGCTCCATTTAACTTCTTTTTGTCCACCGTTTGGTCCTTCTTGTTTTAAATTACTACTGTTTTAATCCTTTGACTTAATAAAACAGTGGTAATTTTAAACGAGAAAGACCAAAACTATAGTACTTAGTTAACTAAAAACTCAGGGATGAAAACAATACCTCAGGTTACAATAGCTAAAATTGAGGAGAGTGATGCAGTTCATATAAGTATTTCTCTATGCGTATGTGTAAATGCAAATGCTCTCTCTTTTTTCCTTAAAAGGTTAGATTGTTTGCAGCCAATAAATTGTTTTTAACAACAATCTTCTAAGTTCTCACATTATTGAAGTTTTAAAAATTAACTCTACATGTCATATGATTTCAACACAAAATCAAAGCATTGATGCTTAATACAGTAAAAACTAAAATCATTTATTGAATATTAATAATGAAATTCATTTACAAAATTATTTTATATTTTCATTTTGAAAATTATGTAAAAATTAAGTTTGAAGCATAAAGAATGTTATTGGTTGCAGACAACTCTACCCTTCCACCACTAAACCATTTACCCAAAATTGAGGAATAAGCAAGGCACCACTTTCCTGTCTTTATTGACCCACGAGCTACCCCAATTAAGATATAACCGATTAGTTACAAATTTTTCCCACAATAAAATATTGTTCCTAACATCTCCATAATACTAATTTTGACGAAAGTTCTATAACTACCTAGGAATAATACTAATGTACAAATTCTTAAGTTCTATAACTACCTAGGAATAATATTAATGTACAAATTCTTCCTACAAGCTGATATGTTTAAATATGATTGAAAATATTGAATTAGAGGTAATTTAGACAAATTAGAATAAATGATACGTAAAACATATAAAATTATCACATCAGTTATATGCAGCATTACTCAACTACTTATATACATATCTCCTTTGCAAAAGTACGTTGATGTTAATACAATAACATTCTCTCAGAACTGCTACAATGCTTTGCTTCAGTAAACGATGGTTTTTTCTCAGGTAATTGCCAGAGTCTGGCACCGAAAGACGTCTAGAATATGAAACCGAAGAAAGGGGATAAAAGTAAATCGGGTCTAAAGAGCCAAGGCTCTCAGCGGGATTTTAAGTTAGGAATTAGCATGGGAAGTAGGAAAATATCGGTGGATGGTAAGCTTACTTCCAACAATGAAGAAATTGGGCCTCAAGGACCGATGAATTCCACGGATGGTGATAGAATTGAGATTAATTTGTCTAATGCAGGACTTGAAGCGGCACACGTAAGTAAAGACGCAGTGGAGGGTTTGGCTGAAACTGAGCCAAGCAATAGAATCTTGGCCCTAGATCTAATTTGAAATTTGACGCGAATAGTTGTTGGAGTAAAGGGGATTGATGTCGAAACAGCGCCTCATAGAAGGAAGGCTTCACTCAGTTCTAATCCAGTAAGTGACGATAACAATAGCAGAGACTTGTCTCGTAGTCCGCCTATGGGAAGGGATGGCGTGATGAAAGGCCCTGATTCTGCTTTCAATCCAGGGCACTTGCTTGAAGGGCAATAGGAAACTGTTCTCAAAATGCAGAACCGTAGTAATGGGGGAAGACAGGTCGTTGGGTTTGAGCTTGGGTTTTGGATCTGGAGTGGTTGTGAACCATTCTCTTAACCAGGCAAATGGGCGGTGTTAGTGTGAGGAAAGTTGTGAGGCACTTTAAAGGCCCAATTGAAAAAGAAGGGGATAAGGCTCGAGAAGTTGGGTTGGGCAAAAGAGGTGGAGGAATGGGCCACAAAGCTCTGGATAAGCTGAAAATCTCGTTGGGTAACATCTGGACTCAAGGGAGCGGTAGTGTGCTGACCAATGGACCTCTTCTTGATCTTAAGATTAATGATGCTCAAATGGGAAGGAAATTTAACTTTCATGACTTCCCAAGTTTGCATTTAAGAAAATGATCTTGAAATTATTTTGTATTTTTTTTTTTAAGTTTGAAAAACGGATGTGGCACACATAAGAATCACTAAACATGCAAAAAGGGTTAGACTGAAAAGATTTAAACATATATGGGTAATAGTATAATTAATAGAAATTGCTTTAAATTTTCAAAATCAAAACAAACACCCTCCCACTTTCAAATCGCTTAAACGACCTAAAACCTCGACAGAAACAACCACCCTTCATTGCATTTTTCTTCCCGTTTTCCCGCACCCATTGTTGAAATCCTTTGATATTTGTATTGAAGGCATTCCCTCTTACTTACAAAGAAACAATGGCTGACCTAAACAAAGATTTTGATAAAGACCGAGCCCCTCTCCAAATCCTAGATGCCGATGGTTCGAAAATTAGAAAATCGAAGGTTGCAGTGGAGCAACTTCTGATGACTAAAGTTGCTCCACCAGGAGAGGAGACGATGCCAGGAGACGATGCCAGGAGAAGACATCCTACCGACGGAACAAGGGAGGGCAGGAGTCGAAATTGAAATTGAAAAGGAGGACGTCGACGCAAATTCCGACAATGAGGTGGAAGAAGATGAAGAATAGGTAATTTTCTATATGTTTTATGAAATTATTGGTTGTTGGTGCCAATTTAGGGATAATTAGTTGGTGTTTGTTGTTAAGGTCATTGCTGCATTTTGTCGAGCAGTTGGAAGGCATCAAGGAGTGGGTGTTTTGGGCTTCCAGAATTTTAGCTTCTTGAACATAATTTTTGAGTTTTTTCATAGATATTGTAGCCAAATATTAATCTTCTAATTATTTGGAAAACTGGGCTCAAATGAATTTTGGTTTTTTCATGGTAAAAACCAATCAAAAGTTGAAGGTAGTTTTTTTCAAGACATACGCAAGTTTGGTGGATCTTTCTCTTTTTCTAATGATTCGATTGAAATACAAAATTATGTTCTTCTTGTTCTTTGTTGAACGTGATTTCTAATATAATTTTTCTGTTTCTTTCAAGATTATTATAGCCTAACAAGTTGTTTGTGGGTTAAATATTTCAGCAACAAATACAAAGTTTTCAAGTTTTCAGCAAGCAAAGTTCATGGTTGACATAGACGTTCAGATCCCATCATCTTTCGATCCATTCGCCGAGACCAAGAGTTCTGCTAATTCCAAAGATGGTTATGTTCATCTCCGAGTTCAGCAGAGGAATGGCAAGAAAAGCATAACCACAGTTGAAGGATTGAACCAGAATTTCAACTACTCTAAGATCCTCAAAGACCTACTCTAACCATAGTTGGAGGGCATTGGAGGAGTGGGTGTTTTGGGCTTCCAGAGGACTGGGGAAGCCAAGGGAGGCACTAGGAAGGTTGTTTGTGGCAGTGACGTGCTGCTCTTCAAATGGGAGAGAGCCTGAGCTGGGAGATGGTTCAGTGAAGAGAGTGGAGCGACTTCTTGAAGAGAAATGGGACATTTTATTAAAAGACCATGTGAAGTTTAAATTTAATTAAAAGGTTATGAAGTTTTAAAGTGTTAACTAAATAGCCTTATTATTCATTAAGAGTAATTAAACATGATTAGTGCTTAATTAAGATTAATGAAGTATTGTGTAATCTTTTAAAAATTATACTGTGTCCCCAAAAACCCGAAATTCTTGCAAACAAACCCAAACACCTTCTTCTTCTTCCTCCCGCCATTAACACATCCCTACCCTGGTTGTTGTTTCTTCTTAGTTTCGTCTACATCTTCTTCTTTCTCTTTCCTCTATATCTTCTTGTTCCCCCACCATTAACACTTTCTTCTTCCTCCACCATTAACATCTTCGCTGCCAAAGATCCGCCTCCTCCTCCTCCTGACATTTTGTCTAAGTATGTGTATCTCCTCTTTACATTTTATATTTAGATTTACAAAGATTTAATAATGGATTGGGTTTGGGTTATGATTTTGATTTAGTTGTTTAGGTTGTTGGGTTGTGTTTGATATAATGCAAGTTGAAAGAAGTGAAATTTGTTGAATATTTTCTTGCATTGTGGATAGTTGGGGGTGGTAGCACCAATTGTAGGTGGAGATAGCTGAAAATGTGTTCTGGATCTGATAGATCGCTTAAGCGATCTGGTATAAGTCTGGTATATGGTAACAGATCGCCTAAGCGATCTGGTATAAGTCTGATACATGGTAGCAGATCGCCTAAGCGATCTGGTATAAGTCTAATATATGGCAACAGATCGCTTAAGCGATCAGACTTATTTATACCAGATCACTTAAGCGATATACTAGACTGCTTAGGCGATGCAGTAAGCGATATATCAAATCGCTTAACCGATACACCAGATCGCTTAAGCGACTCTCCAGATGCTTTTTAAAATCTGTCAACCCTTAATATATTGGTTAATAATTTTTTTTCCTTGCATTATAGGTACTTGGCTATTATTAGACATGAGATGTTGTTTTGGGTGTTGAATATTTTGATGAGTGGCTAGATGCAATTTCGTTACTTGTTCACTAGTTTCTCTTGGCTGTATGTCAATCTTTTGTGGTGCATTAAACTGATTTTATGTCCTTGTATTTTCAACTATGCCATCAAGAAGAATGATGAAATCGAGAGAGTTGCCAATGCCAACCGTTGAAGACTTATTAGTGAATCATAAAACAATTTTAATAGTTTTGATGAATACTTTATGAGATTCCCTTTTTCGTCTCATGGACTTGTTATGAATGCTTTGTTGTTTTTAATTTTTTTTGTTGATAGTTGAATATCTTTTTGTTTGAAGTTCTGAATAGATGATAGTAAGGATGCTTCTAGTTACTTAATTGTTGCTTTTATTGTACTACTAAATTCATTCAATATTGAGATGTTATTGTGCATATAAATTCATTCAATATTGAGATGTTATTGTGCATATAAATTCATTCAATATTGAGATGTTATCAATACTGAATCGCTTAAGCAAGCGATGACATCGCTTAAGCTAACTTTTATGAATTTGAGAAGAAAATGTCAAGTACAAATAAAATTGGCCTTGGTTGCTTAAGCAATGTCGGCTATTGCTTAAGCGATCACGGCTTATCTGTACAGGATTGCTTAAACAAGAGCTAACATTGCTTAAGCGATCTTGAATTTGAGAAGGAATAGTCAAGTACGAAGAAAATTGGCCTTGGTCGCTTAAGCGACATCGACTATCACTTAAGCGATCACAGCTTATCTGTATAGGATCGCTTAAACGAGAACTGATATCACTTAAGCGATCTTGAATTTGAGAAGGAATAGTAAAATACAAAGAAATTGGCCTTGGTCGCTTAAGCGACGTAGGCTATCGCTTAAGTGATTATGACTTATTTGTATAGAATCGCTTAAGCGAGAGCTGATATCGCTTAAGCGACAGTTGATATCGCTTAAGCGATCAAAGGTAATTTGCTTTTGTACTTAGAATAATCATTCTCAAATACGCAATCGCTTAAGCGATGTCAGCTCTCGCTTAAGCGATCTAGTATAGATAAGTCGTGATCGCTTAAGCGATAGCCTATGTTGCTTAAGTGACCAAGACCAATTTTCTTATTTTATTCTCAATCTTTTGATATTGTGAACGTTTGAGTGAGAAATTATATTCCGTAATGTGAATTAGTTGTCTATTCAATCATAACCATCCATATTTGTGAAATGAGGTACGTTTCTACTAACGTGTCACACTAGTGTGCTATGACATTAATTTCTCCATGTATCATAGGATTGTTAGTCACATATCGTAGCTGTTATATTTTGATGTTGAGAATGTCCGAGGTTTAAATTAATAGCAATAATCTTCTTAAATAGCCTTAATATGTGTTGATGAAATTAGGTTGTCAAATAATCCTCAGTAAATGACCTTAATATGTGTTAATAATCGATGTCGCTTAAGCGATCAAGGCTGATTTGCTTCTTTTCTCCTGAATCTTGTGATGTTGTGAACGTCCCAAGTTAACATTAATGTTACATAAGATGGGGTTGTCAAATAATCTATATAAAAAACAAGATCACTTAAGCGATCCAGCATATGTAAGCCTTGATTGCTGAAGCCATAGCCCACATCGCTTAAGCGACCAAGGCTAATTTGTATCTAAATAATCCTCAAGTACACGATCGCTTAAGCGATGTTAGCTCTCACTTAAGCGATCCAATATACATAAGCCTTGATCGCTTAAGCGATATCCCATATCGCTTAAGTGACCAAAGCTAATTTGTGTCAAATAATCCATATAAAAAACAAATTCGCTTAAGCGATAGAGCTCTCGCTTAAGCGATCCAATCTAGATAACCCTTGATCGCTTAAGTGATAGCCCACATCGCTTAAGCTACCAAGGCTAATTTGTGTCAAATAATCCAAATTGCAAGACATGCCATCGATCTTGTTGGAAGCATATTGTCTAAAGATCAATGGCCTGAGTATTATGATGGAAAACTTGGTTGTTATGTTAGGAAGCAGGCTCGTAAATCCCAAACTTGGTCCATTGCTGGGTATTTGGTGGCTAAAATGATGCTTGATGATCCATCACATCTAGGAATGATATCGCTAGAGGAAGACAAGCAGATGAAACCCCTTGTCGAAATATCTAATTCCTGGACTTGTTGACATCCTCATTTTCTACTTCATCCTTTTCTATGTAATACTAAAATTCCTTTGATTTTGAACAAACAAGTTGATTGATTGGTTTGATTAAATTATAAGTTGGAGTTTTAAAATTAATTGATATCCACCGTCTTCATAATTGATGAAATTAGGAAACCAAGAATGTTTGGGAACTGAAAATGATATCTACCATTATAAAACTCAGTGGGCTTGCCACCATCTTCAGTGGTAGCTGACCAGCAATTACCCGCTAAGTATAACTGCCCATTATCCAACTACTACCAACTTTTGATCGCCACCACGTGTCCCAACATAACCGATTTAATTCTATCGGTTAATGACCACATTATCACATGTTACTCAACAACAATTCCATACCCTTCCATGCCAAACCTTACTCAACATACAACCAAGAGCACAAATAACCCAACAACAGACCCATAATGCACATAAACCAGTCACAAGCAAGAACAACAGCAATCCAGTAACACAGCAACAAGAGAAAAAGGCTATTTCATTAAGATTCCAGAATTTACAAGATAACGAAAAAAAGAGAGAAAAAAAAAAGGCAACACCTAGCTGGTCTTGTCCCTTTCTGCCCCTTTGTCCTTTCCTCCAGCACCCCCACCAAAAGCTGATCCTTGTTGGTTGCCAAAACCTCCAAATCCACCACCACCTGTAGCATAATTCTCTCTAATAATTCAGCATCAATTCTTTTATTATTGGTCATAGTCAGGACCATCTGTACAACTTCTAGAGCCTGCAAAAAATAATAATAATAATAATAATAATGTTGAATAAACAATAAAGCATAAAACATTGATAACTAAAGAAAAAGATTATTGTGAAGTATACTGATTTCATAATCACTAACATATCATATGATCTCATACATTAATAGTATCCAAAAAAAATTGAATAAACATGTATTTTTGCATATATTTTTCAAGAAAAAACTTAAACTCCAAATGGATGTATTTTGAGCCACTGGGGACCAAAATTATAAAGATCATTCACCTTAAAGTATGTGTTAAAATTATTTTCACCAGCAACTGTTAAAAAACACACACAAATGGGTGCTCTAAACTTCGCAGAAGAGAGTAGAATAGAGGGGTTCAGGGCTTGCCTGCATATTGCAGGGCTAGTTGCACGTGGGTAGCCTTGCAATATGCAGGCAAGCCCCCAGGCCCTCCTATTCCGTTCTCTTTGCCAACAAAAGCCATCCAACCTGCAACAAACAACCTCCCTAAGGCATCCCTTGGCTTCCTCGATCCTCTAGAAGCCCAAAACACCCACTCCTCCGATGCCCTCAAACTGCTCGACAAAATGCAACAATGACCCTAATAACAAAGACCAACCAAATATCCCCTAAATTGGCACCAACAACCAATAATTTCATAAAATATATAGATTATTACTTGTTCTGTCTCTTCTTCCACCTCCTTGCCGGAATTTGCGCCAGCATCCTCCTCTTCATTTTCAATTTCAAATCTTGCCGTCCCTTCTTTTGTCAACAAGATGTCTTCTGCCGGCGCCGTCTCCTCTACCGGTGGGGTGTCCTCTGTCGGTGGAGCAACTTTAATCATCGAAAGTTGCTCCACCACAACCTCTTTTTCTCCATTTTTGGTAGACTCAGTGGTGCCTACCAATTGGGGAGTGGATGAGTTTTTTTCGGTTTCTTTGATGATCTTAGCCATTGTAACTTAATCGGGAATGGCAAGGAATGGAAAAAATGCAAAGAGCAAATAAATTGAGAAATGGCAGAAAATTGGAAGAAAAAACGAGAGAGGAAGGTGTTTGAATCGTGTTTCGAGAAAGAGAAACTGAGAGGAATGTGTTTTGTCTTTCAAATTTTAAATCAACTTCCTTTTATTATACTTTAACCCATAAACGTTTAAATCTTTTCACCCTATCCTTTTTTGCTGCTTTAATTATACTTAAGTGTGCCACATCAGATTTTTAAACCCAACAAAAAATCAAAAACCTTTTCAAGGTTATATTCTCAATTCGAAACTTGGGAAGACATATCGGTTAAATTTCCTCAAAAGAAACAGAGGGCTAAGTTGTCTGCTCGAATGGCTTCTGGAGAATTTACAGTAAAGCCATCTGGGCATGTTTAGTTTTGAGCTATGAATTTTGAGGTAACTGATTGTTTTTTATTTTAAGTTTTTACTAAATGTGTTTGCTTTAATGGGAAGTTCCTTAGAATTATTTGTTAAATGTGAATTCTTTTGTACCCTGATGAGAATTTCGGTATCGTTACAGGAATTAAAGGTTGATTTTTAGTTTTGTGTACAGTTGTTCGCTATAATTGAAACTAACTGTTAAAGGGGGATGCTATGTTACCCGGATGTGAATTTTGGTGTCATTATAGTTACTAAAGGGTCTTGATAACACATTATTATATATTATCAAGGGTAATTCTATGATACTGGTACAGTTTATTTTGTTATAACATCTATAATTGGGCTGGCAGTGTTTGATTTTAATTTTGATTAAAGATGTTTGCTTTACGTGGAACTACTTGTTAAAGGGGAATGCATATTTTTTTATTAAATTATGTAATTTGTTTAGTCTTTGAGTTAATTTTGTCTTTTCCTTTAGGTTTGTGACATTGTTTTCCATCAGTAATTCAGTATTGAGGAATGGCTTGTCGAAATTGGGTGTTCCTCGTGAAATTTTGGGAGTTCTATTTAATCGGATTGATGCTAATGAAGACTATCCAAAGATCCCGGAAGCAAAAGGGCAGATTAGTGCTATTCGAATTGAGGCATTCTTCATTCCTTGTATGAGCTTTACATCACATATGGTGGAATTTTCGGTTCAACATTTGGACCAAAGGTTTGTTTCTTTTGACTAGACTAAAAAATTCTATGTTATTTAGAATAATTGAATATAGTCAATAATTCCAAGGGCAAAAAACTAATTGTCTTTTCATGAAACCTTTTGAGTCCATCTAAAGTCCTGGGAGGATCACAACATTTTGTGGTTTACAGATTTTTGATACAGGAATCCATCAAGAATCTCTCAAGAAGTTGCCAGCCTTTATGTTTTTCCATGAATCTGTCATATTTTTGTTGCAGCAGGTAGCAGTTTTTATATTGATGTTCCCTTGTTTTGGGTTTTTTCCTTGTGAAGGTGAGATGGTTTTGCTGATAATTGTCAGATCTAAACATTTACAGGTGGTGGTGGATTTGGAGGTTTCGGCGGCCAACAAGGATCAGCTTTTGGTGGGGTTGCTAGAGGAATTGGAAATTGATTTGGCTGTGTTTTTTGACGGGCAGAAAGTGTATTTAGTTAGAAAAGGTTGGCAGGATCCATGGAATCTTTAGAGTAGGGACTGAAAGTATATTTAGTTGAGGCAAAATTGACCTATTTTGGTAGGTTGTTATTTTGGGAATTACTAGAACTACTGGAACTATAATTTTCCAGATTTCTTGATTGTATTTGCTTCCTGTTAATCAATGAAATTTCCTCAGTTTTTCTCTTAATTGATTATTTGGTGAGTGAGGATCTTGGTTGACAGATTTTTAGGCTACTGTTTTATCAGTTGCCAAGGCCAGTTTATTGACAATTTGATATCTTTTTGTTTGAAGTTTTAACAATTGGATAGTAAGGATGATTTTGACAGTAGTTGGCCTTGATCGCTTAACCAATGTGGGTTATCGCTTAAGCGATCAAGGCTAATTTGTGTAAGCTCACTTAAGCGAGAGCTGACATCGCTTAAGCGATCTTGTACTTTACGATTATTTAGACATAAATTGGCCTTGGTTGCTTAAGCGATGTCAGCTATCGCTTCAGCGATCAAGGCATAAACACTAGATCGCTTAAGTGAGAGCTACATCGCTTAAGCGATTGTGTACTTGAGGATGAGTTCAGATACAAATTAGTTGTGGTTGCTTAAGCGACATCGGCTATCGCTTAAGCGATGAAAGCATAAATACTGGATCGCTTAAGCAAACGTGTACTTGAGGATGAGTTTAGCCACAAATTAACCTTGGTCGCTTAAGCGATCCAGGCTTATATATACTAGATCGCTTAAGCAAGAGCTGCATCGCTTAAGCGATCGTATACTTAAAGATGAGTTTATACACAAATTAGCCTTGGTCGCTTAAGCGATGTGGGCTATCGTTTAAGCGATCCAGGCTTATATATACTGGATTGCTTAAGCGAGAGCTGCATCGATTAAGTGATCATGTACTTGAGGATGAGTTTAGATACAAATTAGCCTTGGTCACTTAAGTGATGTGGGCGATTGCTTAAGCGATCAAGTCTTATATATATACTAGATTGTTGAAGCAAGAGCTGCATCGCTTAAGCGATCTTTTTTTATATGGATTATTTGACAACCCCATATTAAGTAACGTTAATGTTAACTTGGGACGTTCACAACATTACAATATTCAGGAGAAAAAAGCAAATTAGCCTTGATCGCTTAAGCGACATTGGTTATTAACACATATTAAGGCCAATGAAGAAGGATTATTTGACAACCTAATTCCATCAACACATATTAAGGCCATTTAAGAAGATTGTTAATGTTAATTTAAACCTCGGACGTTCACAGCATCAAAATATAACAGCTACGATATGTGACTAACAACCCTATGATACATGGAGGAATATATAGCACACCAGTGTCACACGTTAGTAGAAACATACTTCATTTTATAAATATGGATGGTTATGATTGAATATACAACTGACCCACATTACAAAATATAATTTCTCACTCAAACGTTCACAATATCAAAAAATTGAGGAGAAAATAAGCAAATTGGTCTTGGTCGCTTAAGCGACATATCACGACTTATCTATACTAGATTGCTTAAGCAAAAGCTAACATCACTTAAGCAATTGTGTATTTGAGAAGGATTATTCTAAGTACAAAAGAAAATTACCCTTGATCGCTTAAGCGATGTCAGCTCTCGCTTAAGCGATCCTGTACAGATTAACCATGATTGCTTAAGCAATAGCCTACGTCGCTTAAGCAACTAAGGCCAATTTTCTTTGTACTTGACTATTCCTTCTCAAATTCAGGATCGCTTAAGCGATGTTAGTTCTTGCTTAAGCGATCCTATACAAATAAGTTGTGATTGCTAAAGTGATAGTCGACGTTGTTTAAGCGACCAAAACCAATTTTCTTCGTACTTGACTATTCATTCTCAAATTCAAGATTGCTTAAGCGATGTCAGCTTTCACTTAAACGATCCTGTACAAATAAGCCGTGACACTTAAACGATAGACGACGTTGCTTAAGAGGCCAAAGCCAATTTTCTTTGTACTTTATTCCTTCTCAAATTCAAGATTGCTTAAGCGATGTCAGTATTAATAACATCTCAATATTGAATGAATTTATATGCATAATAACATCGCAATATTGAATTAATTTAGCAACACAATAACATCTCAATATTGAATGAATTTAGTAGCACAATAAGAGCAACAATTAAGTAACTAGAAGCATCCTTACTATCATCTATTCAAAACTTCAAACAAAAAAATATCCAATTGTCAACATAAAAATTTGAAAACAACAAAGCATTCATAACAAGTCCATAAGACAAGAAAGGTAATCTCATAAAGTACTCACCAAAACCATTAAAATTGTTTTATGATTCACTAATAAGTCTTTAGCGATTTGCCTTGGCAACTCTCTCGATTTCATTCTTCTTCTTGATGGCATAGCTAGAAATATAAGGACATAAAATCAGTTTAATGTACAACAAAAGATTGACATACAGCCAAGAGAAACTAGTGAACAAGTAATTGGAACAGCATCTAGCCATTCACCGAAATATTCAACACCCTAAACAATTTGTCTGATGTCTAATAATAGCCAAGCACCTATAATGCAAGGAAAAAAAAATTATTAACCGACATATTAAGGGTTGACCAATTTTAAAAAGTGTCTGCAGAGTCACCTAAGCGATTTGGTATAGATAAGTCTGATCGCTTAAACAACCTACTGCCATATACCTTATCGCTTAAACGACCTGCTGCCATATACCTCATCGCTTAAGCGATCTGCTGTCATATACCATACCTATACTAGATCGCTTAAGTGATCCATCAACTCCAAAATCCATTTTCAGTCATCTCCACCTATAATCAGTTGTGGCAATTGCTACCACCCCTAGCTACCCACAATGCAAGAAAATCATTAACAAATTTCAATCCTTTCAACTTGCATTACATCAAACACAACCCAAGAACCTAAACCATTAAATCGAAATCATAACTCAAACCCAATCCATTAAATCTTTGTAAATAGAAATATAAAATACAAAGATGAGATACACATTGTTGAAATAACGATCTTCTCTTGCGTCATTTCCAGCCCCTTTCAAAGAATAGAAAATGAATTGTTAGCTCAAAGATCCCATAGTAGAATATTTCATTATAAATAAAAGATGGTTCATCAGCTCCATAAGTCCAATTTTTATAATTGGAACATGGGTCATAATCCAATAGTAATGTCTCAAACCATTCAGCTCCCATATGCCAGTCAATCCCCATATCCTGCACAAGAAAGGAACACACAATCTGAACAAACATTGTCACACTAGAAACTTAAAGATTGCAGAAAAAACAATAACAAAAATGGTTGCAATGCAACAGAGAGTTATATTCATTGTTACATTTCTCCGGAAACAAAATATGGAAGTAAACATCGAGTTATGGCTTATTTATTACCTGTCATCCTCTGTTGACATGAACCCATTAGTTGATAGTTCCTTCATATTGGCATCCATAAAAGGGTACTTGTAAATTTTCAGAGCTTAAGATTAATGTAATGGAAACAAAAATGCGAAAAGATAATATGGTGGTAAATTTGTAGAAATTTTAATTTCAACAAGATATACATTTTCAAAATGGAAGATTACTAGTTGGATTAAACAACATACCCTATTCAGCCATCTCTCCAGGATTCAAATAATTTCTGGTCTTGGCTCCATTTATGCTCCAATTTTTTGGGGCCGCCTACACAAAGTAATTCACAAAACATGCAACAGAATAACTGGGAGAATGCAATTTGGGAGGAGGTGGAGGCAGATCTTTAGCAGAGAAGATGTTAATGGCAGAGGAAGAAGAATGTGTTAATGGTGAAGGAAGAAGAAGATGTTCGGTTTTGCTAAGAAGAAACATTAACCAGGGGAGGGGATTTCCGACATTAATGGCAGGAGGGAGGAGGAAAATGAATTTGTTTTGGGTTTGGGTTTCTTTGCAACAATTTTGGGGTTTTTTTTTTGGGACAAAGTATAATTTTTAAAAGATTAGTCAATACTTTATTAATCCTAATTAAAACATGATTAGTGCTTAATCATGTTTAATTACTCTTTGATAAAAAATAAAGCTATTTAGTTAAGAGTTTTAAACTTGATAGCCTTTTAATTAAATTTAAGGTTGAGATGGTCTTTTAATAAAAAACCTCAGCCGAGAAAATTTAGCTGCGCAGCCATCCCAAGTTTCCATTTAACAAAATGGCCTTGAAAATGTTTTTCATTTTTTTTTTTTTTAATTTAGAGAAGCTGACGTGGTATAGTTAGGATTCAGTAAACACGTAAAATGGGTTAAAATGAAAAGATTAAAACATATGTGGGCCAAAATAAATAATGAAATTTTTTAAAATTTGAAATTTACAAAACAAGCCCCATCTATTCAGCTTACTTTATCGAAATTCATTAGGGCAGAAAGGGATTTCTTGAACCAAAGGGAGACACTGCGATATCTGATCGAACTTGAAAATTTCCACACCATATTCAATCCTAAAATCAATTTCTTGAACCCTAAACGGAATATAGTCGTGATTTTCGGCGATACACTCGCGATTTTCGATCGATTTCTTGAACCCTAAAATCGATTTTTTGAACCCTAAATGGAATCTATGCGATTTCCGGCAATACAGTCCACATTTTCGATCGAAACTGCAAATTTTGACGCTAAATTCAATCCAAAACCATGGCTGACACTCACAATGAGGAGGAAAACCCAACGCCACTTCGAATCCTAGATTCTGGTGGCGCAAGCAGTTCAATGGTTGCTTCAGTGGATCATCTGATCAGTGAAGGTGGTCCACAGGCAGAGGAGACGACGGCGGCACAACAACAGAGTTTAGAATCGAAAAACGGTTCTAAAGTGGAGGAGTAGGGCGAGGAGGAGGAGTCCGGCGAGAATTCCGGCCAGGAGGAGTCTTCCAAGGATTCAAGCGACGAGGAGGAGGCCGGCGAAGAAAGGGTACGTATTTGTTTAGGGTTTAGGGCTCTGTACTGTCGTTTAAGCGATCATTTGTATCGCTTAAGCGATTAATCTCTTTTACTCAATCCTTTGTATCGCTTAAGCGATTGATTCAGTTTACTCTTGGTCGCTTAAGCGATTTCAGATCGCTTAAGCAATCTTGTCCGAGGCAA